TACAGACTGGAAGAAAATTTTGTGGAACCATATAAAGAATACCAAAAACCAAACAAACCCACTGCTATCGAGTCAATTCCAACTCATAGCAACCCTGTAGGACAGAGTAGAACTTCCCTGTATTGTTTCCAAGGAGCGGCTGGTGGATTTGAACTGCCGATCTTTTGATTAGCAGCCAAGTGCTTAAGCGCTGTGCCACCAGGACTCCATATATAGGATAAGGGTTTACTATCCAGAATATACAAAGACTGCCTACAAATTAACAACAAAAATACAAACAACCCAAGCAAAAAAATGGGCGAAGGACTTGAATAGACATCTCACTAAAGAAGATATACAAATGGCCAACAACGCTTAACATCATTAGCCATTAGGGAGATGCAAATAAAAACCACAATGAGATACTACTTCACTCCACTAGGATGGCTAAGATCAAAAAAGTAGAAAACAGAAAATGTTGGTGAGGATGTAGAGAAACTAGAATCCTTATCCATTACTAGTGGGAATGCAAAATAGTATAGCTGTTGTGGAAAACAGTTTGGTGGCTCCTCAAAAAAGAAACAGAGAACTACTATATGACCCAGCAATTCCACTCCAAGGTATATACCCAAGAGACTTGAAAGCAGCAATGCAGCAATGCAGACACAGGTACATCAAGGTTCGCTGCAGCACTATTCTCAATAGCCAAAGGGTGGAAACAACCTAAATGCCCAGCAACAGATGAATGGATAAAGAAAATGTGGTACATACATACAATGAAATAAGACTCAGCCATAAAGAGAAATGAAGTCTTATACATGCTATAACATGGATGAACCTTGAAAACATTATGCTGAGAGAAATAAGTCAATCACAAAAAGATAAATATTGTATGATCTCACACAGACCAGGCAAATGTATAAAGACCAAAGTTTATAAGTGGTTACCAGGGGCAGGAAGGAGGGAGAAAAGGGGAGTCACTGTTTAGGACACAGTGAGTTTCTGCTTATGGTGATGGAAAATTTGGCAATGATTATTGGTGGAAGCTGCACAAAATGATTAATGTAAGTGATATCACTAAACTGTGCACGTTAAAAATGGTGAATTGGCAAATGTTGTGTTATGTTTTTACAACAGTAATAAAAAAGAAAGATGGGGGAAGAAAAAGATCCCTAAAAACATTTAAAGATATCAACTACCTGAGATTTAATGTCTATTAGATTTCATCTAATCAGACTCACCTAGGTAGGTGTGACTTGGATAAACTCTCCCTGTTGTCCATAGCTCTTCTCCTTGTTCCAACTTGAGGATCATGTCCGGTTTAGTCATGTGAAACCCTGATAATGAAAAATGAGACAGTCTAAGCTGCCTGGGCTTCAGTGCTATTGAAGGAAGATAAAGATACAACTTTAGGGTGGCAAATTAGGCATACATTTACGTCTTACCAAAGTTAATACCTTGCACGAAGCAAGTGAGGGCATAATCATACTTTCTGCTAACAAGAGAGATTCATCACCTCTGATCCCTTAAATTCAAAGTTTCATATGCTTCAGGAATTTTTGTAAGACATGCATAACAT